GCTGTGCCAAGACCATGGGAGGGGAGAAGAGGGGACAAGGGGCAGGAGCCAATCAGTCCCCCAGAGCACAAGGGGTGCGGGCCTCACTGCAGAGAAGGAGAAGAGATGCTTGCCCCACACCTGCCTGGGCTGGGCACTGTGCTGGGGGCCCTGCCCCTTACCTCCTGCCGAGATTCTGCCACTGCCCATAGCTCCTCTGGGAACACCCTCAGAAAGTGCGAACCACATTCCCAAAGTGCAGAGCACTTCAGGCCGGGGGGGGGGGGGGTGAAATGAATGGAAAGGACCAGAGGCAGCGGGGGGGGGGGGGCAGGTCTTTGGGGTGCCACAGAGCACACGTGCCTTTCCAGGCAGCAGCTGGTATCAGCTCCCTCTGAATGGAGCACGGGGGCAGATCAGAGTTTTATCATGAAATAGTCTGACTCTTGAAATAGTCTGACTCTTAAAAAAAAAAAAATCTTGGATTGGCAACTAAATCAGTGCTCTGTGCAGAGTACCACCCAACCCAGAATGGAGCAGCTGAGGGTCCCACCCAGTGGGTTAGAGCCAAACTGGCCAGGCACTCAGGGGTCTCCTGCAGGAGCCCAAGGACCCCAGACACCTCACTCCAGATTTGTGTCACCTGCTCAGTCCCATATGCCAACAAGGAATGTGAACATTTTCTAGATGACAACATTCTGGTTACAATCCATGGGAAGTTGTTATTTCTAGTTTTCTCCTTTCATCCTCTGACCAGGCCATGGTAGAAGCTAGAACAGAACAGAGGTGGTAAGGGGCCAGTGGGGGAGAGACTTGCAGCAGACGCCACCTTCGAATCCCACCGCAGGTGATCCCTGGACTCCAGCCTGTCATCAGGATGACTTCCAGCCCTGTTACACTTTTTGAAGAAGCTCCAGGGTTGGCATTGGAGTTTTTCCTCCGTTGGTCTTGTGGCCTCTCCCGGGCCCCTATCTATAACCCTCTCCATGCCTGATGGTGCTGCAGGGGAGGTGGACGTGGGTTTACCGTGTGCCTCTCCCTGGAAACTTCTTTACCCTGAGAGACATCGTGTGACTCTGGTCCTCCCTGTGTCCACTTCATTCCTAGGAAGACAGGCCTTTCCAGGAGGCCTGACAGGAAGTAGATCATGTTCAGTGTGCAGGCCAGTGAGACAGGGGGCAGGCGAAGCAACCAGCCCTGTGAAGTGACTGGAGGAGCTTCTGTAACGTCCAGATCCCAGAGGGAATATGGCAGCCACTCACAGAGCCAAAGAGAGGAGAGAAGCCACTGGGCACACAGGAGCTTGGACAGCACGGGGGCAGGAGGAGGGCAAGGTGTGCCTGGGGGCCTGAGGCCTTCTGAGCTCCAGAGCATCCCCCAAGCAGGCATCCCCCCCACCCCGGGGAGTTCCAACTGGTGGGTTCAGAGCAACCCAGGGCAAGTACCACGGGGCCATGCTGTGACTGACAGGTACCCCTGGGCCCATCGGCAGAGGGGTGTGGGTGTGAGGGCCAGTGGGTGAGTCTGGGAGGTGTGTCCCCCATCCCATGGGGAAGGGTAACCAGGAGGCCTCTGCGTGGACGGATCTCTGTATGAGGAACTGGAAGCTTGTCAGGAGGCTGAGCCCTGCTCCCGGCATGAGAAGTCAAACCTGTCTGCAAAACAGGTGCCAAGGCATCGGGATGTGACAAGAACTCACTAGGTGGGGATCTTGGCCACTGTTCCCCCTCTCTCTTCAGCACAGACCTGGCCCTGCCCTGGGGGGCAGATTTCTGGAGGTGGGAGTCCAGACTGTGATGTTGAGAAAAGATGTCCTGGGACCCAAAGGTCCCTGCACTCTGCAGCCCACTGGGGCTGGTCTCTCCTCCTAGAGCCAGGAGGACCCCCCATCTTTGTACCAAGATGAGGGCAATGCCTGGTCACCCCTGAGGTGGCTCTCGTCTGCCTTCCATAAGTGTTCCCAGGGTAAGGAGGGCACCGGAAATGACGCCCAGAGCTCTGGCTCCCCCATCTGCCCATCACTTCCCCCGGCCTCTGGCTGTCCTGGGTGCCAGTCACCCACCCCTTCCCACCAGGCCATGCACCTGGAACCAGCCTCTGAGCAGGACCCCTCCTGCCTCCCAGGGCTCACAACTCTCAGGTGAGTCCCCCGACCCTCGCCTGCGAAGGACCTGGTAGTGCTCCCCACCCTTCGGGACCCACCAGGGCCATGTGTGCCTCCTGTCCTTGCATCAGCCAAGCTGAGTCATGGCTTCTCAGCCTGGGACGAGGGGTCACAGCTGCCTCCCAGCAGGGGCGGTTGTAAAAACAATTTCTTCTTTGAATGTGGTCAGAGAATTCAGCAGACTGCTGAGCAGCAGAGGAATCAAATTTTCATAGAGTTGCACCCTTTGGGGGAAACATTATTTATGGGAAGGGACCCACCCATCCAGTCCTTTGCTATTAAATCCCAACGAAGGAGCTGCCCCCAGTCTTGTCTAAGGGCCTAAAAGAAATAAACAAATAGTGCTGCAGTAACAGAAGCACCAAAAATAATAGCGCCTTGAGTTTGTTTAGGGATTTACGCTTTCCAAACACTGCATATTCGTCTGGCCCTTTGGGCTGGGTACTTACTTCTAAAGATTCATGTAGGATAAAAATGAAACCATGGGATGAAGAAGTGGACACCTCTTGCCCAGGGACTTGCAGTGAGTCCTAACAGCAGCAGGAAGGATGATTCCAATCTAGCATGCACGGGGTCCGGGTTCCACCCCCAGCACTGAACGCCAACGAACAAACAAATCCAAGTCTCGTGTGCTCCTACGAAGCCCCCTGTACTTGGAAAACCTCAAGCTGTGGCAGCCTGAGGAGTGCACATTATCCAACCCATTTCACAAACGAGGAAAGGAGCTAGTGGAGTTTCACTTCAATCCCTTCCCAAGTCCCCTAGAATGTCTGCCCACAGCCCCTTCACCTCCGCGGGCTGTCAGTGCCCAGGGATATGGGACCATGAGGGTGGCAGGTCTGTGCGTGTCCATCAGTCCTCGGGCTCTTCAGCACTGTGTTTAAAAAACATCAACACACTGGAATCACGGAATGCAAGGTTTTCTGCACCTTGGCTGATTTCCTGCTGACTCAGCCAGGCTGGGAAGCAGCCAAGAGTGCTAACTTCCTGGCCCTGCACGAGGAGTACCCGTTGCTGAGCCGTCTTCTGTTTAATAAAAGGTACTTGGGCCTCGTCTGGAAGACACTCACCAGAGGCTGTGTCCCCAGCCTGCCACCTTCCAGTGGGCTTGTGCAGTGTGGCCTCCTCCTGCACAGGACCTGCAGGGCTTGTGCAACCAGATGCAACCAGGATACACCTCTGCAGAAACGGGGTATGTGGCTCCTCTTTTCACCCTAACGTGGCTTTGCTTGGAGAACCAGGCCCATGACCTAGCCCTGCACCTCCATTTACCCCTCTGTGAAACGGCTAGAGCAATATGTGGGTAAGGACTGATTCATAAAGAATGTTCCTCTGATTCATCATCTCCAAATAACCCTAATCTTCCCAGAGGAAGGTCAAGGGCTCCAGCTCAGGGCTGAGGGCCCTCTCCCCCAAGGCTGAGCAAGTACAGCTGAGGCGAAGTGCCAGAGTTCAGCAGAGGAAGGGCGAAGGTCTTTGGGACACACGAAATCTTCCTCTGCATTCAGTGATGCCCCAGGCATCGAGGACTGGGTTCTAAGTCCAGGCTTAAGCTGCACGGCTCACTCCACACACGCAAAGCATGATATTTATGTGACGTGCCAGGGCCCTCCGGGTTGAACATACTGCTTCTTGCTGCAGTGAGCGCCTAGGTGTCTACACCCAGCCCAGCCACTGCCCTGGGGTTGGGTGTGTCCACACTGGGAATGGTCATGGGCTTCAGAGCTGCAGTTGCGGGATAACACACGGGGCTTTCTGATTCATCTGTCTTGCCTTTGTTCCCTGGGGACTGCGGTGGGGACTGGCTGATTTCCAGGCTCCTCTAAGAGATGCCCAGCAGGGATCTCAGGGGAAAGTGGAGGACTGCAGCGTGCACAGGAGGCCGGTGTTCAGAGGCCGGCGACCCTGTAGCCCAGGTCTCTGTCCCAAGTCCTGGAAGGCTGTGCTGTGCCTGCTGCCTGCTGCTCCACGGCTGAGCCCCTCCCCTTCCCCCAAGTGCCCCAGCCTCTTTAATCCCCAGCTCAGGAACGACTGTCACCAGGTGTAGAGGCTAGGAATTGCCCCTGTCGCTGACTTGATCACACGGTTGACAGATCAAAGGCCTGTCTCACTGCTTTGGCCCCCGATGTCCAGACCCCGAGAACAGCCTCCTGAGGGGTCCTTGCCCAGGCTTGCCCCTCCAGTTCATGGCCTTCCCTGCAGTCCCTGTGCACTGGCCCACCGTCCAGCCCTGTGCTTCCTGGCTGTCTGCTCGGCAGGTCCCTCAGCTGCTCCCAGCTTCCCAAACACCCTCCAGAAGACCCCTGCCCTACCCTGTGTGGCCATGTCCACTGCTCAGAGTGCCCGCTCTTGTGTTCTCCCGCCTCTCCTGGCCACCCTTGCAGGGAGATGGGCCGTGGGTCGAGTCCTGGGCAACGGATGGCAGTAGGATGGCGGGTGTTTCTGGCCGACGCATGGAAGGGCAGAGGGAGCTGCTGCCCGGTAGTGCTGTCTCCCCTCTCATCATGGATGAGCTGACGGACCCCAGGACCCAAGGAGCCTCCATTACTAAGGCCCCGCAAGAAGGATGCCTAGATGTTGGGTCAACATGCACGACCTCTGCAGAGACAAGGAGTTTGTGCGTGACGCTGCTGAGAGGTGAGGGTGTTAGTGCCTGCAGCAGAGGCCCTGTCCACCCACATGGCACCCCGAGCACCCCTCCAGCAGCTCCCAGTTAACTCTGGCGCCAACCTGCACTTCTGTAGCACCCAACGGGGGAATGCCTGGTTTCTGTTCTCGCGACTAAAGGCTCAGGGGTCACTCCAGTTGAACTGGGCTAACTGGGCTGCATGAAATAACCACACAAGAGACACAAATACCTTTTTCTTTGGGGTCGCTGTGACGGCTCCTCTGACCTTAAGGGTCCGCAGAAAGAGAGAGAGCGAGAGTGAGAGCACGCGCTGACCCTTTTATTGAGGAGAAGCTATTCAAATGAGGCAGGGAGTCAGGTTTCAGGGGGCTCAGTATCTTCATGATGTCCACTGTCAGCAGGTTGACGGACACCTGGGTAGGCCACACCCAAGGGCACAGTAAGAGAAGGGGACACACACAAGGCACTTCCATGGAAGATTCTATCCTAAACAGGGCAAGGGGTTATATTAGGTTATATTACAAAGGAACAGGTGAGTGTAGCTCCACCCATGGGGCTGTAGCAAGACACACCCATGCACGAGACTCCGACCCTCAAACCTAAGAAGGGTGGGGAAAGCTCTGCCACATTTCTGCGACCAACTGGGGAGTGTAACCCAGTCACGTGTAAGGTTGGCCTCCCACAGGGGAACTTTTTCATCGTCGTCATGTGATCTGTCATTTCCTAACTACTGCTTAAACGCTTCACACAGACTTTATCTCTTCGGATCCTCGTGATCTGTGCTAGGTACTATTTATTGCTCCTGTCTCACAGACCAGAAACTGAGGCTCAGAGGGAACATACAGCTTGATGCGTCACTTGGTTGCTGAGGGGCAGCCTGTCCGAGCCCATGACTAATGTGCCTTCCCACCGCTAGACCCTCCCTCACCCAGTTCCCCATACCCAGCACCTAGCATAGTTTGCAGCACACAGTAGGTGCTCAGTGAAGTTTGTTGAGTGAACGCCTAACTGATGCTCTGCCCTCTGTCATTTTCCGAAACAGAGTTTGTAGGATGAGTGGGGCTGTGGGCCTGAGCAGGGCTTGCTCAAAATCGAGCAGTCCCCTGCTGCCCCAGCAGGGCCCTGGCTGCTCCCTCGACTTCACTTGTGGAAAACGTCTATGATGGAGCCTGTTTTCTACTTTTGAAATACAACTGAGGCAGGGTGGGTGGACATAAGCTGCTGCAATAGCCTCCGCTGGAGCTCGGGTCCTCTGGGCTCAGGTCCTGGTCAGCAGGGGCAGAGGAGGTATTCCGGGTGGGACCTGAGTCCGCCCAGTCCCAGGCCCCGGGAGTGAGAGTGGAGAGGGGAGCTTCTGGCAGCTCCGGCAGCCCCAGCTTTGGTGTCACGTGTGACACAAGGTTAGCCCTTATGCTGACTGTCTTCCTTCCCAGGGAAAAGGAAACGTGAACCCGGGGTAGCCAGGGAGAACACCACTGGGGGACCCGAGGAGGACAGCCTGGGAGGGGCTGCGGTGATGGGAGGAGGGCTGAGAGGTCAGCACATGGCTGAGGCCAAGCTCTGGGAGAAGGGCTACTCAGTGCTGTCCTTGTGGTGGGGGCCTGTTGGGCTGAGTGTGTCCCGCTGACTGCTCACTGGGCTCCAGGAACATGCTGAAAGTGGTTGTTTATCTTTTGCCACTGGCTGGGCCCAACCTGACAGCCGGGTGAGTTTGGAGTCGCATTTCATGATCAGCTCCTAGGACTAGAAAATGCACATCCCAAGCCCATGTGCCACCCCACTGTCACAGGAAGGAGGCAGAGGAAGAGAAGCTCCCTCTTCTTTGGGACAGTGTGTGTCTGTCTCTGGCCGTGGTGTCTCCAGCTTGAGGATGAAGCCCATGAGCAGGATCAGACAGAATGATGGGATGGGGGACAAGTGAAGCAGGAGCTCTGCCATCCTGGCTGGAGGTCCCTGCTCCACACTTCTGGACGGTGAGATGACAAACATCTTTATGGCCTAAACTCGAGTGATTTGAGGCCTCCTACTGCTGATAGCAGATCATCCTAAATGATCATACCAGAAGTCTGGACCTTACTCTGGAGGGAATGGAGAGTAGATAGTGAATGCTGGTGGGTAGGTGGATGGATGGACTGATGGATGGATGAACAGCCACTGCCCAGTCAGAAGCATGAGGCTTCTGTAGAGAAGATGGGCTCATCAGAAGACGACTGTGAGAGCCAGAGGCAAGAAGGACTAGCAGCAGGTAGGACCTGGGGACATCAGTCCATGCCACCCTGACCCTGGCTAAGAACATTCCCCAGGTACAGGGAGGCCACCCATAGAGCATCCTACCCACCTAGCCACAGAGACTGTGCTGTGACCTAGAAGTACATTGGACATCTGTGTACGTAACATGGCTCCCACCATGTTGTCGCGCTGACACAGGCAATAACTCCCCAGAGGCACAGCCCGCATTGTGTCTCCACCCTCGGGGACCAGCGCGTGCCTGCCTGGGTTGACTCACAGTCATGAGGGCGCATGGCTAATAAGGTCCGTCATCACCTCCTTATTCCCTCATCAGTAAACAAACCAGGAGATGTCAGACCTGGAGCCCAAGAAATGTCCGTGCAGGGACTTTGGAAAACAACAGGTGACAGAATTGGGGTATTTAGCCTCCTGCGTGCTGCCTGAGGTGGCCACCTAAGGTGTCTTGAGTGCTCACTCAGAAGTGTGGTAAAGGGACCACCGGATGCTCACTTGAAGAACTTCCAAAGTCTCTTGGGAAGCCTGTTTGGGAAGGACATGGAGCCACTTAGACCTTGGGCTGTCACTTGGGTGTCATCTCCTGGCTGGAGAAGGTTCAGGCCGTCCATTCACCTCTCTGCACCTCAGTTTCCCCAACCACAACAAGAGGGGGCCATGTTCATGAGGAATGAACGTTTTTTCACATGGTTTTTAGCTTCCTAAGATGTATCCTCTTTCATAGACGAGCTGTCACACCTTGGGTTCTCCTTAAGAGGTCGTTCCTCCATCATCTGCAGATGATACTCAATTGGAAAAGTCCAAGGAAACACTCAGGTTGGCCCAGGCTCAGTGGCACCCCAAAGAATCTGTTTTTATTTTAGCCCAAAATGATAGTCCTCGATGGCATCCCAGGCTTCCTCCAATGTCACCTGCTTCTCCTGGTCAGCTGGCCAACAGTATGCCCTGACCATCCACATCCTTCCTAAACTTCTGAGGCTCACAATTCCTCCCCCTTCACATGAGGGTTGGGTGAGGCTGGGAGGTGCTCCCTCAGAGAGTGCTCCCCCAGGGAAATGTCCCCTCAGAGGGGTGCCTGGCAGCACTTTCCCACCAGCTCTCAGGACTCCCAGGACATTCCCTACACAGCACTGATGTGGCCCACGGTATTGGGGGAACACTCGCTGTGGCGTTTCCACAGGGGATGGTAAAGCCTGAAAGTACAGACAGGATGTTGGCTCCAGGGGGTCCTCACATCCAAGAAGTCTGCAAATGGCATCTTTGTTCTGAACTTTCTCCGCATCTCCCACAACCCGACTGAAGGTGGGGTGGAAGGAGAGGAGAGGGGATTCAACAGAAACCCCTGTTCCACAGGCACCCCCCTAACTCCCACCCGGGAGGTGGCTGGCAGGAGCTGTCAGGACATCCGGGACCTTGCCAGACAGGGAGGAAGTGGTGGGATACTGAGACAAAGGCCAACCCTGGGGCTGGACCTGCAGAGCAGAGGGAAGGAAAGAGGCCACCAACAGTTCCGAGTGTCCATGGGAGGCTGCCAGGTGTGTTGGCTCTGGGGACTTCAGGATGTAAACCTGGTGGCAAGATGAAGGGTCTCCTATTCTAGGGTATCTTCACAGGTTCAGGGAGGCTCAGGGAAGGTAGGGACCAACATCCCTAAAATGTGACCACCACTCACCTCCATGCCCCTGGGCAGAGTTTTCTATGAGTGCTTCTGGGACCTGCAGCATGACCTGAAGATGGACAGTCTGAGAAAGTCACATGGATTGCTGTGTCTTCTGAAGGATTGTCTGCAAAGGATGCGGGCAGGGGCTTCTGATGAAGATGGAAATGGATGTTCTGCTCTGGTTTTGAAAGTTCCAGAAATGAATAGCCTGCTGGAGAGAGAGGAATGCTCTGCTGGGTGATATTGATCATCTTTGGGGCCAGAGATTGTGTTGGAGTTGTTGCTGATTGAAAGGTTTTCTATTAATTCCTACTGGCAGTCAGGAAGAGAAATATTGAATATCTAATTGCCTTTGAATTAATTACACCCCAAAATATAAGATCTTAACCAACCCATCATGCATGCCATCAGTGCTTTGCCCAGTGATGGTGGCTCAGGCAACGGAAGGTCAGCACCAGGGTGACGGGTTAATGCAGGTCACCGCCCACTTGAGTCTTTTATTATGTTGTAAATACGAAGTGTCCCCCAAATAAGCTCAAGTGATAGACAACTCGGGAATGTTGAGGTGAAATGATTGGATATGAAATCTGTGACCTCGTCAGTGGACTGACCCACTTGACGGATTCATAATTTGAATGGATTACTGGGTGGTATACCAGGTGGGGTGTGGCTGGAGAAAGGTCCCTGGGGGCCCTTGGGGAATATATATCTTGTCCGTGGCTCATCTCTCTCTCTTTGCCCCCAGTCTGCCAGGGGCTGAGCAGCTTCCCTCTGCCTCACCCTTCCTCCACGGTGCCCTGCCTCACCTCAGGCTCAGGGCCATGGAGTAGTCAACCAGGGGTTGAACCTCAAACTGTGACCTCAAAATACTTTTCCTGCTCTTACGTTGTTCTTGTAAGGTGTTTTGGTCACAGTGAAGACAAGCTGACTGACACATCTGGGTTCAGTTCTCAGCCATTCTTGATCCATAAACAAAGTTGGTGGCACAGAGTTCTTCCCGGCAGGGACCTAAAATGATAGAAAGGGGGCCCTTTGATGAGGCAGCTGTTGGGGGAAGGACAGGCGTCAGAGACCGAGTCAGAGATGGGATCCTCACTGTTCTGACTCAGTGATCCTGGGGACATTAATCATCTTCCTGTGCCTCCATCCTGTTGCCTGCAAAAGAAGATCATCCAAGACTCACTTCCATTGTGAAAGTCCAGTGAAATAACTTGCTGATGCACATGAGGGCATTTTGTAATCTATGAATGTTTGTTCATTTGTTTAAAAGATATTTATTTAGCCCCTATCTACATCAGCACTGGTCTAAGTACTGAAGTTAGGGCCGTGAATATACCAGATGGAATCCCAGCCCTCAAAGAGATTAGCTTCTAGAAGGGAGGCAGGTGAGAGTAAGATAAAGAAGTTCAGTCAGTCCCTCCATATCCACAGTACTTCATCCAAGGACTCAACCAACCACAAACCAAAAATATTTGGAAAAAATAATTGCGTCTGTGCTGCCATGTGCGGACTTATTTTCCCTGTCACTGTTCCCAAACATCGCTGTGGATCAACTGGTTACAGAGTTTACGCTGCATTTGTTACCATAAGTAATCTAGAGATGACTAAGAGCATGTGAGAGGATATGGGTAGGTTTATGGAGATACCACACAGCTTTATGTAAGGGACTTGAGTATCTGTGGCTTTGGTATATAAGGGGGTTCAGTGTCCTGTGGATACTGAGAACAACTGTAAAACGTGTCGCATACTAGTAACCAGTGTTCGGAAGAAAAATAAATCAGGGAAGGATGAAATAACAGTTGGGAGGAGAAAATGGAAGTCAGCGAGTGTAATAATGTCCTCAAGGAGTTCAGCTGTGATGGGAAGGAGCCGAGCAGGGTGTGGAGGGGAGGGACGCGGAGTCGGCAAGGGGTTTTGTTTGACAAGTAGAAAGCCCTGCATGTTTGGATATTGATGGGTGTGAACCTGTAGAGAAAGAATACCTTAATTCAGGAGAAGAGAGTGGGAACTGTTAGAATGGGGTCTTAGAGCAGGTGAGAGAAGATGGGGTCTGGTGCCTGAGGGATGATCTCAGCTGGATCAGAGAAGGCTAGGAGGGTCGTGATTTGCCAAGAAAGCCTGAAAGATAGAGGGCGGCTGGGTACGGGGAGAGGCTGCGTCTATCATGACAGTACAGGGAGTCCTCTCCCCGGGGAGGAAGGAGGCGGGCACAGTGAGAAGGTGCAGGACCCAAGCACAGAAACTTCTCATGGTCTAGGGTGGTCCAACTAACCAAGGGTGGCAGCCATTCAGATGCCAGCTTCACGCAGCTCTCTGAGTCTTTTTATAAAAAGCACCTTCATTTTGAGATTTTGCCATAGGTGCCATAAGTACCCCTGACAACTCAGAGAGGGTGGTTGGGCGGTCCCTAGGCTCCAGGTTCCGCGGTCCTCGGGAAAAGACACCTGGGCACTTTCCAAATCCACTCGCCTGTCAGGAGAGCATGGCAAGGCGGGCTGCAGGGATCACACCTGTTTACCCTTGCTGGCACTGTTTTAGGGTACAGTGGGAACCCCTTAATTCCAAGACTCAGAGAGAGAGAAAGCCATTGCCCTATTCCAGGGATTCTGCAGTAGTGCATGTGGCTTGGGCAGGGAGGTTTGGATTCGCTCTCAGCCACAAAAGGAAGTCTTAGCTGAACTTGTGCCCAGGCCACCTGGCGCCAGTGAGGGCTCTGAACTGCTGCCCAGAACTCCTTCCTCAAGGGGGATCCCCACCCCGCTCTGGCAGTGACCCTGCTTACAAACCTCTGGTGTGGCCACCCAACAGACCCATCTTACAGGTAGGAAAGATGAGGCCAGCAGAGGAAGGTTTCCCAGGAGAACATGCCCGAAGCATGGCGAAGGGAAGCCGAGCGGTGGAAAGTCACAAGTCTAGGTTCACGTCCGAGTCTCCCCTTCCCGGCAGCCCACTTGAGTCACTCCAGCTAACGGTCGCAATCTGCAACTTGACAGAGAAGTCGGCAGTCTGGTGCTCAGTCCATGCACCAGGCGGTGTGGGGCTTCTCCCAAGGACAGAGGTGGCTCGCTTCTCTGAGGGACGTCATGACTTCCTCCCCACCTACTGCCAGGGATGTGCCAATAGCGTCTCCGCACTGTTTCCTTGGAGCATCTCCGGCGCTCTCAGGCCGAGGGCACCTTCCTGCCTCTGTGATGCTTTGGTCCCGCCTGGCAGTCAGAGCACCCCCCAGCAAAGCGTCTTTGGGAATCCCACTGGAATGTATGATTCCATCCAAACCAGCCCATCACTTTCAGAGCAAGAACTGAGGGGGATTTTTTTGGGGGGAGCCAGTAGTGGGAATTGAACACAGGGGTGCTTCACCACTAAACTAAGTCCCCAGCCCTTTTTATTTATTTTTACGTTTTTGAGACAGGGTCCTCCTAACTTGCCACTGCTGGCCTGGAACTTTCGGTCCTCCTGCCCCAGTCTCCCAGGTTGCTGGAGTCACAGGTGTGTGCCACCACACCACTGCTGAGATGGAATTCTAAAGAGACTGCTGTAATGCAGGGGACTGGATCCACTCCCTGAATACGGAAGGAAAAAAACATCCTAATAGTCATAGAATTTGGAAAAAGAAAATGAAATTGGGCTGGGGATGTGGCTCAAGCGGTAGCGTGCGGCCCGGGTTCGATCCTCAGTACCACATACAAACAAAGATGTTGTGTCCACCGAGAAAAAAAAATAAAATAAAAAATAAATATTAAGAATTATCTAACGCTCTATCTCTCGCTCTCTTGTAAAAAAAAATGAAATCATACTTTTCTTCTTCTTTTTATAAAAAGCACCTTCATTTTGAGATTTTGTTTCGGCCTGAAGACAAGGAGGGCTGGGCCAGGCCTGTAGCCAGAGGAGGCTGCCCAGGGAGGATGTTTCCCAGGTGACCTGGGCTTCTGAGCAGCCCAGCCAGACCTCTCTGCAGATGACAGACTTGGCTCCGATCCACACTTGATAAAACCAGCCCTTTTGTAAAGACGCTTCAGAGCGCTCTGTGGCTGAGCACCGGGAACTGCGCAGGGAGATCCATCTTCCTCGGCGTCCCCCGGGGCACCTTCAGAAAGAGCCCCCAAGACTTCAGCCTCGGGTGGGGCTGACTCAGAGGCTCCTTCCCCTCCTGGGACCCCCAGCTCAACTGTGGCAGAGACTGAGTGAGGGGAAAGAGCCCTTCTGAGGACTGGCATGGTACTGCTATCCTCTGCTGAATGAGGACCCTGGGCATTGTGGTGCAAGTCCTTTGGGACACAGCTAGAACAGAGGCTCCAGAAGGACAGAAATGAAGGCCCGCTCTGGCCCAGGGTCTGATCAATCAGGACCATGACCCCACCAGCCCTCGGTCCTGAGGCCACGGAGGATGCCCAAGCCCCCATGCACTCCTGGTCCTGGTTTGCCCCTCGGCGGCAGCTGTTATACGGGGCCACCCTCTCTGCCTGGTCTGCCTCCTGCTGCTCCAGCCATTGCCTCTCCTCCTGCCCCGCCCCCCTGCTCTGTCCAGAGCCTCTCCCAGTCTCTCTTCCTTCTCCACACCCAGGCCCCGCAAGACCCCACCCAGCTTCCAGCTCCTCAGAGTCAACACATATTTAAGCACCTGCCACATGCTGGGTGCTGACAGAGGTGGCCAGACATTGAGTTTATGCTGAAGTTGGGGTGCAGACGGGGAGAAAGATAATGCACAGGTCTCCAAGTCCACACTCTTTTCCCAGCCCCTCCAAAGCGAGGATTCCAACAGGATTGCTAGGATTCTAAGCCACTAAGCTCTGAGGCCACAGAAGCCACTTAGCCTCTTTGGGCCTCTTTCCCCATCTGTAAAATGGCCTACAGTCCAGGTCAGCAGCATCCAGTGCTGCAGGGCTGTCCTGTCCTTGCACTGCAGTCAGTGGCCCTAGCCATGTGTTGGTATGGAACCCTTGAGGAGCTGGTTTTTTCCTTTGTTTACACTTGACTTTGAACAGTGACGCCTGGCTGGTGATCATGGTCCTAGGCAGCACACTCTAGCTGCCGTAGCCCTCCAGGTCAGGTGCCCCAGAATTCCACAAAAGCACCAGGTGACAGTTCAGTGAACTCACCTGCAAACTCTGAGTTGATCTACAAACTAAAGCAGCAGAGGAATAGCAGCCAGGCTGCCTTTTAAACAGCCGGCTGCCCTCCCCAAACCAAGGCCTCGCCCCTCATCTGAGCCCCTGAAGAGAACGGGAGCAGGAGCCCAGCCCTGGGACTCTCCACCTGGCTACAGTCAGAGAGGCTAGGACATTCGTAAGGGCTGGCTCCCACCCCAACAAAAGAAGTCAGAAGTCAGGCTGGAGTTGGGCCTGGCCATGTATTCCAAGCTCCCCGGGGACTCGAATGCGCAGCTGCTGTCTCAACCAAGGCTCTCTGAACCGGTGGGGAAGCTGAGAGCTTTCTCCAGAGGAGAAAGTGGTTTGTCCAGGTCTGGAGGCAAGTTCAGCTCAGAGCCTGTCCTGGGCCCCAGCTCCCAAAGTGCCTGGGCCAGCTGTTATGCAGAACTGGTTGGACCAGACAGGGAACTCTGAGGTGTCCTGCAGAGGACACCTCCAGACTCCTCTAAATCCAACAGTAGCCCCTGCCAGGGACCCATCTGCGTGTGTCCTTGAGCAGCCCGGCTTCTCCTTGGACGGCACTAAGACCAGCTTGACGGAGCTGACACAGGCGGCTCCCCTGGCCAGGTTGTGAATGAGTGGTCTTCCAAGGACATGGACTGGCACGTAAGTGCTTCCGGTCACTGCTGGACAGACCTGCCGCCTGCTGTCAGGGCCTCCTATTGTCCTTTGTTTTCTCCCAGGGGCACAGTGGGTGTTCTGCCATATCAGCTGAAGGTGCCCAGAAGAGAGGACCTCGGATCGCCTCCTTCTGTTTCCTACCCAGGAACTAGGATGTGAAGCCACCTTCCAGTCCCTGATAAACCTGGCAAGCACAGGCCACCCTGCAGCCTTCCCCCTTAGACACACAGGCTGCAA